GAAGGGTGAAGAGGAAAGGGGTACTATCAATGGGAGCTGAAAATACACCTCAGTTGCTCTGAATGGTCCCATGAGCCATATATATCATTTCAGAAGCTGATGCAGGATTAGCCAGGCCACGTAACCTTTCAGAGCAGCTCGAGCATGATAGACCAGTCAGGACATGGTGATATATGCCATAACTGAAAGCTTTTTGGGGTATTGCCAAGTAGTGGTATTAACTAAGCCGCTAGTTAATTAGCATTGCAGGGCAGTGCACTCGTCCTAATATCTGAAGTACAATATTTATAATGTCTGTGATCTCAGGTTTTAAATTCCAAGTGATGTAGCAGTCTGTGTATCTCTTTTCAGAACATTACATAGGGCCTGTTATTTTACAGTGCTAAGGCTAGTCTCATTTTTAAAAGTACTCACTGTTCAGGGCATTCTTCCTATGAACGTCCAGGAGCTGGAAATAGTCTGTCAGTGCCTTAGCATTTCTTACTGACAACAAGCAGTATACTTCATCTAAATACAAATACTGCAGAAAACACCCAGATTTCAGCTTCATCTTGGGTAACTGTGGAAGGTCACCTAAACAGAGTTAGCTGACACACCACAGGGGGAGAATTCTACCCTAGAACCAGAATATGATTGTCTGTCCTCCTCCCACCCTTCTTTCACGGTTTTTCCACATTTTTCAGGAATTCCCCTCAGATGTGGAGGCATGCATCCCTACCATTCAGCATTTGAGGATAATGCGTATCAAAACCAAGTGATAGAAATTATTCTTACAGCATATTTTTTGTAAATGCCCTCAAGAACGTTGCGTCTGATTAAAATGTGCAAGAAAACACAGATTTAAGGATTTGTTTTAGAAAGCTACCAAAGCAGATGACTGTAATGAAAGTCTTACAGCCTTAGACAAGTGTTTCCCCAAAGTTTGGTCCCTGCTGAGGAAGTCCTACACAGCAGCTAAGGCAGTGTTTTGTTTTTAACTCTTAGCCATGGTTTTAACTTTTTAAATTTCCCGTGTCTGACAGTGTCGGGTGCAACATGTCTGTGAGGTGTAGCTCAGAGATGGTTGCTTTCAAAAGCCCCCCCCTTTTTTTTTTTTTTTTTTTGTTAGGAAGCTGAAACACTGTTGTCCTATTTATACAAAGTTTTTATCATCTGTTCCTCTTCCAACCCATGCTCAGTCCAATCCAGCACCAGTCCAGCACAGCAATAACCAGAGAAGGTGTTCTCCTTTCCTGACCCCTATAGCCACACCAGCAATAATAACAACAACAATAATAATAAAATTATAGACCCCAGTGGCCTACTTTGCTACAAAGACTCTCTACATTTTAAATTCTAAACATTTTAAACCCAGAGCTCTACCTAGTCTAGCAGTCAAGTTAGCAATTTCTTCTCCTTTAGTCGTAATACTAATCAAGAGTTCAGTTCTGCTAATACTCAGTGCTGAGGCCTGTGCTCTGAGTAACTTGTTTAATGCAGTGGTAATACTCAGGACAGTCTGTCTATAGGACCAGGTCTGCTCCCAGGAGCCTGGGGCAGATTTCCAAAGTTTTTTGTGTTTCTGAAGTTTATAATCTCTTTATTTTATTCATTTCCATTTGGAAAAACAGTAAGAAGTAGGAGTCCATGGGCAGATGAGATAGATTAACCTATTTGTTGAGATGGTTTGATGTTTGCAAACTTTCTGTGAGAAATCGGTTGGGCGAAAGAATTTAAATACATCTGACTCCTCTTGGCTATGCAGCCAGGAGATAGCAAATCTGGTCAGAGGGTGTCAAGCACCAGATTAAAAATTCCACAGCCCTCAAAATGATCTGCTGAATCAGAGTCGCTCAAAAGCTTTTGAAGGGGTAAGTTTAGTGTGGCAAAATTTATGCCAGTAGAGCAGTCACCAATCTGATTTGGTTTGATTTGATCTGATTGACCCCTCCCCAGGTAGGTTACAGGGCATCTGCCTACATTGTAAGCCCCTTGGCATGGGGTGTATCTTGACTTTCTGGATCTTTACAACACCCGATAGGGACAGGCATCCCCAATACTTGCCCACCTCTATTGTAAGGGCAATTACGAAGATGACGGAGTCAAACGCTTACTAGGTTTCTAGATGACAGAACAAGGGGCAATGACCACAAATAGCAGCTTGGGAGGTTCAGCTGGACATTGGGAAAAAAATTTCCCAAGGAGGATTGTGTGCACTTACCTAGGGAAATCGTATATGCTCCATGCTGGGAGACTTTCAAGACTTAGTTGGCCTGGTCTAGCCCTGGAGATAGTCCTTCTCCAAGTGGGAAGTCAAACTAGATGGTGTCTAGGTGTCCCATCCAACCAATGTTTCTGTGATTATGTACAACGCCCAGATCCATGACTGGACAATAAAGTAAAAATGCTACCATTAATAAGAATGACAACTGGGGAAAAAAGGAGTGACATCCACCTGGAAAAATGAGATTAAAAAATACGAAATTTTGAAAGAAGTTGCTGTGAGTCTATTCTTACTCCAGTATTACCAAATCCTCACATTGTTTGCGATCCAAAATCCATGAAGTTAGGTGGAAAAAGTGCTCAATTATTTTCAGCCTCTTTCTGTTTCAAGGATATACTTGGATCATGTTTTTACCTTGCTTTTCCTACAACTCAGTGGGGAGAAGGGAAGAAATAGGGGCACAAAAACTTACTTTAGAAAACATGCTGCTGAAATTTTTATACAACCACAAATTTCCAGGAGCTGCAGTTTATTTAAATGGTATCTCAAGCATCAGTATCGGGAAACTCCCAATAGAAATGCTAGACCTGATTGTACCAATATAAATCCAGTTATTCCTAACAGCAAAGACAGCAAGCGGTGATGATCAGCCCCCGCGCTCCAGGAAAGTAATGAGAAAACACTGTCAAGCTCTCAAACCGAGAGCCTATGCTGCATTTTGCCAAATTACAAATCAGGACAGAGGGTGAAAAAGCACCTCCTTTACCTCCACCCTGCAGCCGGTACTCCTAGGCTAGTTAATTGGGTTGAGGGAAATGTATACAGACAAAACACGTGCTGGTGTGAACTGTGCTTCTGTCAGCGAGGCTTTCCTGGACAGCCATTTACCACTAAGCTCTACATTAAAGCAGAGAAATTGTTGAGCGTGGCTGCACCATCAAGTATTTCCCCTAGATGTCCCCATTTAATACGTCATTTCGAGTTGGCTTTTCACAGGACGTGAAGTTTTGCCATTCAGAGGACGTGAATCTTAAGATTTGGCAGCAGCTTCAAATTCTTCGCCCAGAGTTCTGATACCCTCAAATTCCCATTACTGGAACTTTTAAAAATATTTATATTTGTCTATTTTTACATGAGATGAACTGGGGGAAGAGAGAGACATCTTTCTGCTGCCAAGGCAGCTGTAGGCTTATGTTTTTACACTCAGATAGCTGCCTCTTCGCTTGACCCCCTCCACAGTGCGGCGGCCCATGAGGCGGCTACGCGTGGCGATGCCACTCTCCTTACACCTGCCA